GATGCTGATTCTCCTGATGCTGATGATAACGATGCTGATGCTTCTGATGCTGAAGCTCATGCTGATACTGCTGACGATGACGCTGTAATGCTGATTATTCTGATGATGCTGATTATGCTGATGATGCTAATGTTGTTGATGAGGATGCTGATATTGCTGATACTGATGCTGATGATGCTGATGCTGTTGCTGATGATGCTGATGCTTCTGATGCTGCTGAATCTATTTATGCTGCTGATGCTGATGTTGACGCTGTTGAAGCAGCTGATTGTTTTGCTGATGATGCTGATGCTGATGCTGATGCTGACAATGCTGCTGACGATTCTGCTGCTGTCGCTGACGATGCTGATGCCGACGCTGACAAAGATGATGCTGCTAACGCTGATAACGCTGACGCTGATGATGTTGCTGACGCTGATGATGCTAATGATGACGCTGATGCTGCTGATGCTGATGCTGCTGATACTGCTGATGCCGATGCTGCTGATGATAATGCTGATTCATATGCTGATGGTGTTGATGATACTGATATTACTGATGCCGATACTGCTGTCAATGCTGCTGCTGTCGATGACAAAGATGATGCTGCTAACGCTGATAATGCTAATGATAACGCTGATGCTGATGCTGCTGATACTGATGATTATGCTGCTGATGCTGATGCTGATGCTGATGTTGCTGATGCTGATGCTGATGCTGATGCTGATGCTGATGTTGCTGATGCTGATGCTGATGCAGCTGAAGATGCTGATGATGCTGAAGATGTTGATAATGCTGCTAATACTGATGATGCTAATGATGATGCTGCTGAAGCTGATGAAGCTGATGAAGCTGCTGAAGCTGATGAAGCTGATGATGACGCTTATGATGCTGATGATGACGTTGATGATGCTGATGATGACGCTGATGATGCTGATGATGACGCTGATGATGCTGATGATGACGCTGCTGATGCTGATGATGTTGATGCTCATGTTGCTGATGCTGCTGATGCAGATGTTGCTGATATTGCTGATACTGATGCTGATGCTGCTGCTGATGATGCTGAAGGTGTTAATGATGCTGCTGATGCTGCTGATGCTGCTGATGCTGCTGTGGCGGATGTTGCTGATATTGCTGATACTGATGCTGATGCTGCTGCTGCTGATGATGATGCTGAAGGTGTTAATGATGCTGCTGATGCTGCTTATTCTGATGATGCTGCTGATGCTGCTGATGCTGCTGATGCTGCTGATGCTGCTGATGCTGCTGATGCTGCTGATGCTGCTAATGCTGCTGACAATGCTGATGCTGATGATGCTGATAATGTTGATGATGCTGATAATGTTGATGATGCTGATAATGTTGATGATGCTGATAATGTTGATGATGCTGATGATGTTTATTCTGATGATGCTGATGATGCTACTGATTTTGTTGCTGATGCTGCTGTGGCTGCTTATGCTGATGCTGATGCTGATGCTTCTAATGGTGAAGCTCAAGCTGATACTGTTGATGATGATGCTGATGATGCTGATGCTGATGCTGATGCTGCTGATGTTGATGCTGATGATGCTGATGCTGATGATGACGCTGATGATGCTGATGATGCTGATGATGCTGATGCTGATGCTGATGCTGATGCTGATGCTGATGCTGATGCTGATGCTGACGATGCTGCTGTCGATGCTGCTGCTTTTGCTGATAAAGCTGCTCCTGCTAATGCTGATAATGCTGAAGATAACGCTGATGATAATATTGGTGAGGCTGAGGCTGTGGCTGAGGCTGATGACGATGATGATAATGCTCCTGACGCTAATAATG